ATATTTTGGGTTCCTGCGGTTTCTTTCTGACCAGTAAGCCCAGTCTTTTTTTATAATTTTGAGTTTTATTCCACATTTTCTCTCACTCTATCTAGGACCCTCTAATGTGGTCCGAATCAGAGAAGTTGGTAATGGTAGCCAGGCAGCATCTAGTTCCTTTGACCTCAGAGTTATAGAGAGTGTCCCATCAGTCCCCTGGATTAAATGATTCCAAGCATCTTCAGTTTTCATCACTCTTGTTTCCTTTGCTCATGGAGAGACCAACTGTTGAATCTTAGGTGGCCACTCATGAGCTTTTAAGAGCCCAGTCGCTACTCACCAAAACAAGATGCAAAATGTAGTTTTGGGGAATATGTTATGCCAATTGACCATAATGTCCCCTGAGATTATAGTACTGAGCCCCCATGTCCAGCAACTCATTGCCTCAAGATGTTTGTAATGTCTAAGAAGTTTTCATCATTTTACCGACTGTATGTTCCACCACATTCATAGGTATATTTGTACAAATGGTAAATACCCATGTACAAATATCCTCTGTCAAATCATTATATATTTTGGAGTATACCCCTACTTTGCCTCTCATACCTGTTCAACTATGTATCTGCCATATAGCTACCTGTAGAGCACTGTTGTTGCAGGGTTGTATATATAACAGTATTTACCTCTATCCTCTTTATCCCTGCATTTCCTCACTGTATCTTCACCTGTGTTCATCATTCTTCTACCAACCTCCCTCTTGTATATTATCTTCCCCATCACCCAATCTAACGCGTCTACCCTCTAGCCAGTGAATTTCTCTCCCTTCCCTCATGCCCCTTGTAACCATCAAAGAATGTTTCTTTTAGCATAAAACCTTTTCTTGAGTTTTTATAGTGGTCTCATATAATGTTTGCCCTTTTATAGTTGACTAATTTTACTCAGCATAATGTCCCCCAGCTTCATCCAGGTTGTGAGGTGTTAGGCAGAATCATCATTATTCTTCAGTGTTGCATAGTATTCCATTGTGTATATGCCCTGAAGTTTGTTTATCCATTCTTCCATTGATGGGCATCTAGGCTGTCTCCATCTTTTTGCTATTGTGAAAAGTGCTGCTATGAACATAGATGTGCATATGACATATTCATGTCAAGATCATGGTGTTTTCAGTCACCACATTTGCATTTGAAAGTTGAATAGTGAGTAAGGAAGAACGTAGAAGAATCAGTGCATTTGGATTATGGTCTTGGTGAAGAATATTGAAAATACCATGGGCTTGCAGAAGAACAAGCAAATCTGTCTTGGAAAAAGTACAGTCAGAATGTTCCTTACAGGTGAGAATGGCAAGACTTATTCTCTTGATCTTTGGATATGTCAGGAGAAACCAGTCCCTGGAGGACATCATGCTTGGTAATGTGGAGGGTCAGTGAAAAAGAGGAAGACTCCATCCAACAAGATGAATTGATACCATGGCAGCAACAATGGGTTTAAACATGACAACTATGAAGGTGGCACAGAAATGGGCAGTGTTGGTTCTGTTGAGCATAAGGTTGCTATGAGTTAGAACCGACTCGATGGAACCTAACAACAACAAGTTACTGATCACTTGAACTGCTGTGTGCCATCCAGGCCACTAGATATCTTGAGATAAAGTCCTTTCAAAATACTAAGGAAATAAGAATATGAATTGAGGAGGTTATTTTTATGAACTGAGGGTCTCACTTTGTAGATGAAAATAATTTTATTTATATATCCTAAAGTTAGTCAAATTCTAATAATAATAATAATGAAGACATAGTGTAGGAAATGAAATGATGTCCCAGTTTCCTAGACCCTATGAGAAAACATGTAGGCTATGTTAATTATAAAGTTTACATAAAACTTACCCAGCTTTTATTTGTAGTTATTTCTTCATTCCCTAGCTTTCATTTTTCTTAACTTTCTTGAAGGCTGTGCCTGATTTTCAAAATGATTCAGAATCCATATCTGTGTTTACTTCATCTCTGGACTTCTGATCAGCTTAGATATGGACTGAGTATTAACAGTTAATTAAATATCTTCAGGATATTTTACTCTTTGATACTATTGCAAATATCATTTTCTTAATTTCATTTTCAGAATGTACATTGCTAGAGTACATAAATAGAATTTATTTTTATATTGATCTTGTATGCTGCAACCTTGCTGAATTATTATATTATTGGTTCTAAGATACTTTTTTGTGGATTCCTTAGTGTTTTCTATAACACAAGAGCATGGCATCTGCAAATGGAGATTTTTACTTCTTCCAATATGGATGCCTTTATTTCTCATCCTTGCCTAACATTGTCCCAGCTAGAACTTCCAGTGCAATTTTAACTAGAAGTAGTGAGAGTGGACATCTTTATTTGGTACCTGACTTCAGGGGGAAAGTATCCAGTCTCTTGCTATTAAATATGTCAGCTGTGGGCTTTTCACAGATGCCTTTGGCAGGTGAAGGAAATTCCCTTCTATTCCTTAGTGTGTTAAATGTTTTTATCGTGAAAGGATGTTAGATTTTGTAAAATACCTTTCTACATCTGTTGAACTGATACTGTGTGTGTGTGTGGGGGGGGGTTGTCCTTTATCCTGTCATTATGGTAAATTCCACTCATTCATATTCAGATGTTAAGCCAAGCAAGACTTAACTTGGTCATGGTATATAATCCTCTTTATGTATTCCTAGATTCAGTTTGATAGTCATTTGTTGAGATTTTTGTTTTTTATGTTTTGCATCTCATAAATATATTTTGATCCACATAACCAAAAAGAAAAACCAATCTACTCAAACCCATTTTCATCAAGTGGGTGCCAACTCAGAGAGATCCCAGAGGACAGTGTAGAACTGCCCCATCTGGTTCACAAGGTTGTAAATCATAATGGAAGCAGCCTGCCACATCTTTTTCCTGAGATGCTGCTGGTGGGTCGCAACTGCTGACCTTTCTGTTAGCAGCTGAATGTTTTAATCATTGTTCTACCAGGGCTCCTAATCCCATAAAGGCATTCAAAATCCTTTAAAAATAATATTAGCTCCTATTTTCAGAATGCTTTATTGTTTCAGTGGGCTCTCCCATAAATTGAATTTATTCCAGAATAGTCACGGTCCGTTTTGAACAACTCCAATAACCTTATCTGATCTCAGCTATCCATCTGGAAATCTAGCCATCATTCGAGTGCCCAACAAACTAAATGGTTTCACTTGTATAATCCAAGAAGACATGCCCACTAATGCTGCCATCCTGGCACTGCTGGATTCCTCTGGAAGAAGTTCTTGCTATCATCCCAATGGAAATGTCTGGTAGGTTTCTACATTCCTTCTGTTGCCATTGTTTGTTTGTTTGTTTGTTTCATAGAATTTTATTTTTCCTCTTAAATGGCTTTGAGATGATTTTAGTTAATCTTTAGATAGTAATGTTTAACGCAAGGATTTTTTTTTTATGCTATCCAATGTGCTGTTCAGTGGAAAACTCCTAGACAAGTATACATACAAAACAGAGCTCACCAGCTTATTTCTATAACATACAAACTATACAACTGTCATATGGTGTGGTGGGGAGAAGACTCTAAATTAATTCTATTGTCACCTTATAAATTGTGGCTATAAACCCCCCATGCAGGGCCTCATTACTGGAGGCTATACGTTAATAATCTTATACTGCCTCATCCACAGCAATAATCTGTCAATGGTCTGCTACTACAGTGTATTGTTTTTTATCATTGGAGATTTATATTCCTAACTAGTAAGCTTCCTGTAGCCGAAACCAACAACAATAACATACAAATAAACAAAATCTACAAAAAAATTAAAAATCCGATTCCATTTGATCTGCTAATATGTATAGTCTATCACATCATATTATTTTGTTTAGTGTGACAAAATAAAACTCGAGTTCTAACTTCCCACATGATTTAAACTTCTCAAGGTCTTCAGATAGAGATACAGTCACCCTTCAAAGTACTTATGGGTTTACAATCTCATCTTAAGAAACTCTCAGTAGCTGACAAACTTTGGACATAGCCACTACTTAACAAAGTTGGGTCTCAGTGAGCCATTTGTGGTTTTAGTCCAAAGCAGTAGGCTTCTTAGTCAATCTAATACCACCAGGCATATTGGAAAATTTCTACTTAGTCTTCAGGGCTCAATAGCAATTCTATATGGTATTTGGTGATGGCTTCAACTCCATGGCAACTAACAACAACAACATTACATTTGGTGGAGCATTATATTAAATGGCACCAGATATTGATTTAGTCTAGAATGCGTCCCACTCTTTTGAGGCCCCTTAGTAACCCACCATCTGGACTTCTGGGCACTCTATTGGCCTCCTGGACACTCTCACAACACCTACGATGTGCTGTTCATACAGCAAGCCCATATCTGGACTTGCCAGTTCTTGAAGGCACATCCTGAATCTTCACAACTACATAGTATAGAGTCAAAGAATGTTTATTAAATACAGGTAATTCCCAGCTTATGATGTATGCAAATTATGATGAACTGCACTTAATGACCATCTGTTTTGGTTTTGGTTTTTGGTACATCTATTGTTAGTAATCTCTGTAGTGTAGTGGTTACGAATCGGGCTGCAAACTGCAAGGTCAGCAGTTCGAAACTACCAGCTGTTCCGTGGGAGAAAGATGAGGCTTTCTGCTCCCGTAAAGATTTACAGTCTTGGAAACCCAGTACAGGGTCGCTATGAGTTGGAACCAACTCCATGCACGTGACCAACCAACCAATTGTTAGTAATATGCACTGTTGTTATTGTTGTTGTTCCTGTTAAGTGTCATCGAGTAGGTCCCGACTCATAGTGAGCCCTGTGCAGGATTTCTGAGGAGCATCTGGTAGATTTGAACCTCCAACGTTTCTGTTCAAACTGACCTTGCAGTCCAGCCCATTATCCTGCAGTGCCACTACAAGGTGTAATTTGCTAATGTTCTCATGCCAACCCCCAAAGATAACTAAGATTTAATTTACAAAGATACTGATGATAATAAAAGGCAATAATAATGAAAACTAAAAAAAGAAAGGGGGGGATGATATTTGACTTACATCAGAACCAACTTATGACAGAATTGTCAAAACAGAATCCTGTCATTAGTTAGAGACAAAGTGCAAACTAATAACTGATTTAATCTAGATAATTTTAGCTTAGTATTATTTCCACCTATATTTTAAGATAAAACTAAATCTCCCCTGCCTCAGATGCAAAAAAAAAAAAAAAAAAATTGGCTCAATTTCTCATTTGTCCTTTTGCTATTAGAGTAGCACCAATAATCAATGTAGGAAAATGAGAATTCTATCAACATTTTCAATCTGAAATTGATCAAACATGCAATCAAGATGTATTGATCATTACTGGTGATTGGAATGTAAAGGTTGGGAGCAAAGAGGAAGGATCAGTAGTTCGAAAATATGACCTTGATGATAGAAATGATGCTGGAGAACGCATGATAGAATTCTGCAAAACCAAT